CTGTTGTCAGGTAGCCATGATACCAGAGCCTGTCTGTATAATGTCTTGTGACGTCCACGGCCTACAGTTTGGAGAGAAAAACAAAGTAAAGAACAAAAAAGAAAATGATTAATCGATTATTAAATTAGTCATCGATTATTTTAATAATCGGTTAGTCATCGATTAATCGATTGATCGTTGCAGCCCTACATGCAAACTAATTCTAGTTGAATTCCAAGGTCAGAGTACTTCACTTTCTGATCTCATCGTTTGTCACATTTAGATTTATGATGGTCTTAATTAGAAGAAGACCCCGAAGGCTCCACTACTGGCAGACAAATATAAAAAGGACAGACAGGAAGTCACCTAAATGCATTTTGACAGTCTCCAGATATTCTAGGATTGATAAAAAAGTGAAGCATTTTGGCTCCAGTCACACGAGTTGTGTTAGACTGTTGTGGAAGGGAACTAACAAATTAACTGCATCTATTTGAGTATTTACTCTGAACCAAATTAATCTCACCAACATTTACCATTTGAAGGTAATATTTGTTTTAAAAACATTTCATTTCACTGTATAGATATTTGTGTTTCTTTAGCCTTTAAATTCCAATAATTTGTATTTTTTTCCTCTTATTTTCAAAAAATCTATTTTCAGTGGACAAACTACATTCATGGCTGGCAGGACCGCTGGGTTCTGATGAAAAACAACACACTGAGTTACTACAAGTCTCAAGATGAGACAGAGTATGGCTGCCGGGGTTCCCTCTGTCTCAGCAAAGCTGTCATTACTGTAAGTATTATGGAACTGTTTTTTTTTTGATTGAGAGAAAAATAATTATATCTTTTTGTTTAACTTCTGCAATACTACTGTCCTTTACAACATATCTGAATAGGAGAAGACAGTGTGAAAGGACACCCTTTTTTATTTTGCATTTTTGGTCTCTTTGTGTTGTAGCACAGGCTTAAGGTTTGAACAGGTGTGTTTTGTATCATTTAGAAAAATCTCTATGTTGAGACCCTGACTGAAACATTAGATCAGTTTTGGACTTTATATGTCTAATTGTAAATCACACACACTGAAAAGGCAGGAGCGTATGTGGTTGCCTACTTTAAAGAAAGTAATAAAACACTTTGGGCATTAAGCTAATACAACCCCTGGCAAAAAGTATGGAATCAGCCGTCTTGGATGAGCACTCATTCAGACATTTCACTCTGTAAAACAAACTCAGATCAAAAACATGATACAATAATAAGGTCATTCCAAAGTGCAACTTGTTGGCTTTCAGGAACACTCAAAGAAATGAAGAGAAAACATTGTGGAAGTCAGTGAATGTTACTTTTATTGACCAAGCACAGGGAAAAAATATGGAATCACTCAGTTGTGAGGAAAAAAGTGTGGAATCACTCAAATTGGAGGTAGAAAATAAGGACACACCCAGTCAATTTCTTTTCCCTAACATAGAATTGATTGGTTTTAAAGAAATGAATAAAGTTTTAAATAATAAGAATAATTAAAATAAATTTGGGTAGGAGAGTAACGTCATTTCAGTCCTATATATGTCTGCATTTATACAGAATTGACAAATTAAAAACTACTTGAATGTTTGACAGGCGCATGTCAGAATGTACCCATGACTTGAACACTGTTAAATGTTAGATATAAATGACCCTGGGAAGTTGTGGGACAGAGGTCTTTTTGCCCACTGAAATGAGTTGGTTACATTTGAACACCTACATGCAGGTGCCGTTTACAGGCAGGACACCCTCTTGAATAATGCTTAGAGGGGCAATGATGAACATGTCAGATGAGAGTCAGGCCTCTATCATGATTTTTTTTATTTATAAAGCTCAGAAAGCTTTTCAAAACAGCTAGTTATGACCTTTCCTTCCTGTGATTTAAAACCACCTGATTATGTCCCAAGTTGTGCCCGAGGATAAATAGCTTGTCAAGTGACTGTTCTAGCAATAGCATGCTATGTGTTAACACTTAACTGAAAACCCACTTGTGATTTTGTTTTAGACCTTGAATGGCAACACAGATGTTAGAAAAATGAAGTCGTTAAAGCAGAGAGCTCATCAGACTTTTTATTAAAATCCTGTGAAGGATTCCTGAGATTTCAGTCACACTTTAAAAAAAAAAACAGCTGAAACTTATTAACAATATTTACTTTTGAATGTTATGTGAATAAACTTTCATTGTACCCCTGAGTTTTACTAACAGAAACTGGAACTCTGTTTTTAAAGAACAACAACAACAACAACAACAATAATAATAATAATTCACAAGCAGAGGAAAGCAGGTTTTTCTGTTGATTTTTGTTCACCATGTGACGGACTTGTTACTTGTCCATGGTGTACCCCGTCCCCTGCACATTGACTGCTGGAGATCGAGACCAGCTCCCCTGTGACCAAGAAGTGAACAAATGGTTAAAGAAAATGGTTGGATGTATTTGTTCAGCTTTATCTATTCTAAGCAGATGTAAATCTTAACCTGCTTGCAGTGCTCTGCTGTCATTACTTTTTGGTTCAATAAGTGGCATATACCTCTGCAGCAGAAACAAATTAAGTTATTGTTAATGTGATTGTTTTTCGGCAGTTAGTTAGAGTTGTTTAACTATTTAAATAAATAATCACAATCATTTTGGTCAGTATTTTAATCTGAATATTGAAAACTCACAGATTTTGAAAATATTTAATTTGCAACAGTCAAGTAAAGGTAGATAAAAGTTGATTATGTTGCCATCCTTATTCACCTCAGGTTGGATTTGGACCCTGTGATGGTCTTCATACAACGCCACACATTAATAGAGTCACATTTTGATTCTTCAGTGATATACAGACTATCAGCTGATGCAACATGTTAATTCATCCAGTTATCAGACTGATTAAGGTGGCGCTAGATAGCTAATTTTTTTAAAGACATTAGCTTGTTAGCTAAAAAAATACAGTCTGCAGAAATGCAATTGTTGGCTAGAATTTATTTATTTACAGGTAGCTGCTGTTATTAAAAAGTTATAAACTGGCTCCACCTAATATGGTCTGATAATGACAGTAGCTGTGTTTCCATTGACCATGAAAATGTGCAAATTAGAATTTCGAAAAAAAAAATTTGCTCAATGGAAACACGTCAGTTTTGAAAAAATTACATTTTTCGACAAAATGTTTTTGTGCTAGGATGAGGTGGTTTTTCGGCCGTATCACAATTGGTGTTTTGCGCAAAACTGCAATGGAAACACTTTTTTCACATCACAGGAGTCACGTGATCAACAACCGGCTGTTTCTACTGGTGAAAAAGATGACGATGAAGATAACAGGAAGTAGAAGTAGTAGTAATATCACAGAAGTAGTATAAAATAGTAAACTCACCGACTACAATTTCCCAAAAACACAGCATACATAGCCGCTCCCAAGTAGGGACTTGTCTCTGGAAAGCCTCGATAAAAGACGCMGAYGTCTCCTCTGATGATGAGCGCTAGTGTCGTGGTAGCAACATGCTATGTGTTTACATCCATCGCCGCCATGTTTGTAATGACTTATCACAAGAACAAACGTATTCACGTGACTTTAATAGCATTTCTTACTTAATGGAAACACCGCCGTTGCGAAACTGTTTTTCGACATTAACAGAATATCGACAAAGTTTTGCTCACATTTGTAATGGAAACACAGCTGTTGTTGACTTCTGGTCTGACAAACATAAAAAAGATGGAGGTTTTTGAAATTTTGCTCAACTGTTTTTGACATTAAGCATAAGAAACACTTTGTATTTTAATTATTATTTCTGTATTTTAAGTCAAATATCCACTCTTCTTGTTTTTTAACACCCATTTCTAAAAGGAGAATCCAATAACCAACAGATACACTGATCAATGCCTCACCAGTTTTTGTCTTCACTTGTGCTTCCTCTTCTTGTCTCTCTATGTATTTAGTGCTGCTGCCAACATTTGAACAACCATTTGACTCTTTCAGGGTTCATTCACATGCTCTGTATTAACGGCTTGGAGCATTTGTTGTCCAGATGCCTGGCAGCATTGCTAAGTCACACTGTGGCAATGAAATCTTCTTAAGGGACTAAAGTGGGTCATTTGTTGCTCTGCCAGTGCACTGAAGTATTTCAGTATTCAGTCACTAAGTGACAGATTGCTCCAGAAAATGTAAAGAACCTTTTTAATACTCCTTGTCGCAGACAGTACAGCATTTTGAGATATAATTGCTTCTTGAATAATTATGTTGTAGGCTGGCAAAAATATATTTTCAGGTTTTTTTTCCAGCATTATGTTGAGCCAATATTCCCGTAAATTCATTACTGTGATGGTTAAACAAACTGCAGTTAATTTTATCCACATGACTGATGTTTGTCAGAGAAAAAAAGCGGTCACAGAAATGAGTTTTTTTTATCTTCAATTTATTTTTAGATATTGTACTAATTGGCCTTAGATTTAGACTTAAAGGTGGATCCCTTTTGTGTTATTTGTTTGTATTGCGGTCGGTATAAAATTTGGAGACCTCTTATTTGACTTTTTTTTCTTGGAATCCCTGGAGAATGAATGCTCATTCAGTTTTTTATAATTATTTTTTCTTTAATCTGTGCCCCAGACAAGCCTGGGTCATACTATATATCAGCCTGTTCTGTAACTTGACCTTGAGAGAAGTTATCTACTTTGACTTGCTTTAAAAAAATAATGTCAAAATCTTTTCCTTTACATATTTGCTTGAATGTATTTACAGATTTGCAATGACGCCATTTTTACAGTTTTACTTTCTGATTCAACTGCTTGACAATTGAACTGTGTTTAGTGAATGTAAAAATAGTTTCCATGAGTTTTTAGCAAAAAAAAAGGCACATTAACAGAAACTAAACCCATTTTTGCACAGAAACATCAAACGTGTTCAAGAGAATTTGCTGATAGTTTGTTCTACAAAATTTAATCTTTTGATATTCTAATACAGCGGGTAAAATAAGTATTGAACACGTCACCATTTTTCTCAGTAAATATATTACTAGAGGTGCTAATGACATGAAATTTTCACCAGATGTCGGTAACAACCCAAGTGATCCATACATACAAAGAAATCAAACGGGTCTGAAATAAGCATTTTAAAATGTTTTCAAAATAAGTCTGGCACTTTGGAGAAAATCCAGGACGTGGTCATATATCCCCTCTGGCCTGGGAACGTCTCGGAGTCCCCCAGGACGAGCTGGAAGGTGTCGCTGCATGGGGAGAGCGCGGGGTCTCTTTGCTGCTGCCATCGAGACCTGATCCTGGATAAGTGGCGGAAAACGGACGAACGGACAATTTATATTGTCCGGCCACTTTATTAGGTACACC